GCCCCGGGTCACATGGGGGATCTCCGGCGCCGCCCCGGGTCACATGGGGGATCTCCGGCGCCGCCCCGGGTCACATGGGGATCTCCGGCGCCGCCCCCCGGGTCACATGGGCGATCTCCGGCGCTGCCCCGGGTCACATGGGGGATCTCCGGCGCCGCCCCGGGTCACATGGGGGATCTCCGGCGCCGCCCCGGGTCACATGGGGGATCACCGGCGCCGCCCCGGGTCACATGGGGATCTCCGGCTTTGCCCCGGGTCACATGGGGGATCCCCGGCGCGGTCACTTGTCGTTGTAGAAGTACTGGTAGGTCTCCTCGGAGCCCAGGCTGTCGGTGTCATTGAAGGTGTCGCTCTCTCCTGATTGGCTGGCGTCCTTCGCCCTCAGCAGCCGGCTCCGCAGCCTCTCCTGGTGCCGCCTCAGCTCGGCGTAGGACCGGGAGAAGGTGTGGAAGATGGAGGTGGCGGGAAAGGCCATGATCAGGATCCCGCTAAGGATGCTGCTGAGGGCCACCACCTGCCCGGGGACGCTGCGCGGCACCATGTCGCCGTAGCCCACCGTCGTCATGGAGATGATGGCCCACCAGTAGGACGCCGGCACGCTGGTGAACTCCTGGCAGCGGCCCATCTCGTTCTCGGCCAGGTGGACCAGCGGGGCGAAGAGGGTGACGGCCACGCAGAGGAAGAGGAGGAGGAGCCCGAACTCGCGGGTGCAGCGCCGGGCGGTGAGGCCCAACGTCTGCAGCCCCAGCGAGTGCCGGGCCAGCCGCATGACGTAGAGGATCCTCAGGGCCCGGAGGACCCGCAGCACCAGGCTGATCTTCTCCAGGTAGGAGTTGGTGCCGCCGGGCTTGTCCTCCGACTTCTGCTCGTCCTCCACGATCAGCGAGACGTAGTACGGCAGGATGGCCAAGGCGTCGATGATGTTCAGCGGGCCCCGGAAGAACTGGCACTTACTCTCCGACTGGATGAATCTCAGCAGGAACTCCAGAGAGAACCACGCCACGCACACCGTCTCTATGATGAAGATGTTGTAGCAGGTCTGAGAACATTCACCCTGCCGAGAGAGAGGAGAGATCATTAACCCGGCGCCCAACAGTCCCCCGCCCAACAGTCCTCCGCCCAACGGTCCCCCGCCCAACAGTCCTCCGCCCAACGGTGCCCCGCCCAACAGTCCTCCGCCCAACGGTCCC